GCGGTTTTTCGTAGCTGCATAAACGGTCTGACTCCCGCTGTTCTGAAAAACCGCCCGAAACCGCGGTAATGAAAACCGCGGTTTTGAGCGGTTTTTTGTCGTTTTTTTTTCGTGGGTGATGAACCATTTTTTTTTCAATTGAATACATATCTGTAATTATTGAATTTATTCTTTTATTTTTTACATTAAAAAATATATGAAACACTTCAATTGGTGATAAATATGAGAGAATGAGAAACCATAGTTCACCTGGTAAATCTTCTAATTTCATTTCTAGAAAAAAAAATGAAGTAATAAATTTTTTCTTTTGAAGAAGTTTGTCTATCAAGATTGTTGTTTTAAAAAATAATTATTTTATATTAGATTGGTCCTTGTAACGCCATTATAGTAAACAAAATATTTTGATAGAAAAGAAGGACCTAACTGATAAAGACTGGCATCTACAAAAAGAAAAAAAGTGCTGCATTCATAATAAATATAGTTGTTTGTAAGCAAGTGAAGTTCGAATAAAACATATTTTAGTAACATTAAAAATCATTGCGCGAATCATTTCTACGAATTTTTAGCACGGAATTTGTTTTGATTGATGTTTTTTTTGTATTCGAACAAAAGAGATTTATAACCAAAGTTTTGTCAAATGTCATGCTTAAAACTAAGACCTTTAAATTCCCGTGTATGAATCAATCAGATTGCATTTAATTGTTTTCTTTAATTGATATAACTATACTATGGTACTTCAATTTTGCCTTCAGGATAGATATGATCACAAAAATATTGTATAAAATCAGTATGATATTTTCCGTCATCTTGTATTCATGTCTATCATCCCACCTCTCCCTAATACCTATTAGGGAGAGGTGGGACGATAGACATGAGCAACGTCAACTTATTTTGGCATCGGAACACTATTGGAATCGGCTCTAATTTCTTTAGGATCGTATCAGAACGGGTCAGTTCAAATTATTTAAAAATCGGGATCGAGATCATAATCGCTGATCCCGATTCCAAATTTTTCCTAGCTCAAAATTGAAGCTACATTGAGGTCGGCCATATCATTTCTAGAATTGTATCATAATCAGCATGCTTTAAGTCTTTGGTATCAGGATGGAGATTGATACCACTAATTTTCGATTCCGATACAGAATCGTCCATTCCTAGGAGTGGAAAATATATAATCGGTTTTGAAGTAGTACTCGCCATTATTCTGACTAAAAAGTTGAATAAAAATATTTGTTGTTAACAAAGTCAATGAAATTAGCATTTTTGTTCAGTTTCTGCCAAATTTTTAGCTTCTCCTGTTTCTCAAAACAATCGAAAATCCTGCTTTTATTCATTCTAAATGAATCTCTTGGTCGTTATTGGTAATATTATACAAGAGTTCTTCGATTTGCATTTGATATCATTTATTCAAGTTAATTCACATTTCTTTTTTTCGTTGAAATATATTGTCTATATGAAATTTTTATTCTATAATATTTCATACTAATAAAAAAAAAAAAAAGATTAAATTCTAATTCTAATTGTTGATCATAAAGCATTTGTAAATAAACTCCATTGGTCCATTCAAATCCATCTTGTGTTTTATATTCTCCACCATCAGCTGGTTTATTAATATTAACAACATCATATTTTTCCATCATTTTTCCTGTTTCTTTAAAAACACGTTCATTTAATGACATCCATCGTTGACGAATAATTCGAGCAAGATTTTTATAATCTGATATTTGAATTAAAGAACGATATGCAATATATTGTAATGGTGCCCAACCATTTGGATAATCCCATTGTTGTGTACTTTGTTTTGATATTATTGTTACAAGACTACCATCAAATAAAAATAATGTTTCAATTTTTTCTACAATATATTTTGTTTGCTCGTTTGTTGCAATATTTAACCATAATGGATAAATTCCAGCTAATGTTAAACGATTTGTTTGTTTGTTTTTTTGTATAAAATTAAAATCAGTAAAAAATTTTAATTCATTTGACCATATATATTTTAGTATAGTTTGACGTCGTTGTTTAGTTTGAATTATTTTACCTAAAATTAATTCTAAATGATATAATAAACAATTAACCCGTTCAGGACGGGCGGCCACTATAGTGCCTACTTACTGTTTTTAAGCAGAAAGACATCTTATTCATTGACAAACGGGAATAACTATATATGCATGATAATATACTCATTATAATGATATATACTCAATGTCGTTGTCATGGTCCGTCCTATTTTTTTTCTCTTTTGTTGGTCTACATCAACTCGCAACCCTGTCATTCTGATTTACTCTTTCTCTCTGTTTCATGTCTTCTCTTTTTCTTCACATGCATGCAAGCACGATGTGAACCAAAGAAGTTTTAGATATTGTTATCATTTACACATCATTTCTTTCTTTCTCTCTTTTTCATAAAGTCGTCATATACGTGTATTTCATGCACATATTTCTTCCTTTTCTTATCAGGAGTGGATGCGTATATGTTTTTGTCCAGTATATTCGGATGCATTCTTTTTCTTTCTTTTCGTTTCTGTATACGTGATGTGCGCTCTCTCTCTCGTTTTGGGATGGATTATTATCTTTCTAATACCTTCTAGAGATTGTTGTTTCTTTCCACACTCCGATACATATATATATATATACACGGTTTGAAACTTTTTGATTTATTCACTAGTGATCAATTTTTCTCACAAAAGATCCATTAGAAAACCACTCGGTACTACTACAAATTTCGTCTCGTTTATTTCGTTGGTTTTTTTAGTACACCATGGCTGCATTCGAACACAAGCGAAATACAGAAGTGAATGAAATTTATATGAATTCCGAATCCGACAGTGATAGCGATTTTTTCGACGATTCTAACAACGAAGAATCTGATGATGAAGTTGATTCGTCTGTGGTAGATAGATCCTGGAGATCTAGCTATTTTGCACCTCGTATCTTTGAATTTACAGCAGAGACTAGTATTAGTTCGGATATACTCGACTTGGAAAATGATTCTCCGTTAGATTTTTTTGAAGTATTATTCGACCAAATAGTATTAGAACAAATAGTGAATGAAACAAATAGATATCAATCACTTTCGAGTACAAGTGTTTCAGTTTCTTCTACATCTCATCAGGCACCATGGAATGCCACTAGCATTCCTGAAGTTTATTCATTTCTAGCCGTCATGATGCTTATGGCTCATACGAAGAAGAATCGAATGAAAGACTACTGGTCTAGATCAGCTTATCTCTATCCCAATTTTCACTCAAATATTCACTAGAGATCGTTTTTTGTCAATACTAAAATTTCTACATTTTCATGATAACCAGCAACAGCAGAGTGGAGATCAATTGCATAAAATCAAACCAATTCTTGATCATTTGAGGAAGAAATTCAAACTTTGTATCAAATCCAAGAAAAACTTATGTATTGATGAAAGCATGATGGTATGGAAAGGACGTTTGAATTTCAAACAATACATACCGTCAAAATGACATAGATTTGGCGTGAAATTGTTTATATTATGCGATTGCTATACTGGTTTTATTATGGATTTCATAATCTATACAGGTCAACAGACTGAAGTTCAATTGGATAAAGAATTAGGACTATCTGGCTCAATTGTTATGACTCTAATGAATAGCTATTTGGACAATGGTCATGTAGTTTTTGTTGATAACTGGTACGCAAGTCCTGGTCTATTTGAAAAGCTACACCATAGACGGACAGGTGTTTGTGGAACTGTCAGAAGCAACAGACTTGGTATGCCTACATTTTCTTCGAAGTTGCAGAAAGGTGAACAGACATTTTGACATACAAATATCTTACTTGCATTGAAATGGCATGATAAGCGTGATGTCTATATGCTGTCTACAGTCCATGTACCGCGGATATGATACTAACTAATAAGACTGATCGTACAACGAATAAACCAATAGCAAAATCCCTTTGTATCAAAGACTACAACGAGAATATGGGCTTAGTGGATAAGTCAGATATGCAAATAAGCTTTTCAGAATCTATTCGCAAAACAATCAAATGGTATAAGAAGCTATTTTTCCATTTGCTCGACTTATCAATGTTGAACGCTTACATACTATACAAGGAAAAGAAAGGCATAACTCTTGAGTTCACTGATTTTCGTCTGCAAGTAATTCGACAGATTTTCGATAAATATGGTACTCAACGGGATCCAAGGAGAGGCCGACCATCTGCTAACAAGTCATTGTGACTGACGGCTCGTCATTTCCCATCTCTAACTGGCGGAGGATCACGAAGATGTATTGTGTCTGCAGCACGACTGTGAATGGTCGTGTTTGTTTTGACGGAAAATATTCTGAAGATATAGTTATAGAAAATTTATTACGACCAAATTATATTGTTTAGAATCTTAATCTTAATTATGTTTTTTCGACTAATACAGATTTACAAAAAGTAAATCGAAAATATTTTATTATATATTTTAATAAATATTTTGTTTTTCTCTTAGATATCATATCATTGTATAGATTGAGGTGATACAAAAGTTCTTGATGTTACAGTAAATCATCCCACGTAGTTTGGATTTTCTTACTCATTTTAATTCTCCAACATCACCAAGAGAAATAATTAATGAAAATGATGATATAATATCTATACATTATTCATTAGTTTTTTGTTGATAATGAATTAAAAGGTGTTTATAAAAAAATGGTTTGATCATAATTTAAATCTCGTTAATAATATTATATCAGTGCAAACAAATCAAGATGATCCAAGACAACGTTCGAGCTTTTCCACGTTATCAAGGTAAAAAAGAATTGATTTTTGTTTTGTTTAAATTCAAATATATTTATCTTTAAATGTATATTGTTATTATGGTTGATATTGTGAACATAACTTTGTTTTAAAATTGGTTCGAATAATCAACGTATACCAACATGTGATTGTGTTATTGGATATAAATAAAATAGTGATGGACGAACATGTTCATCCAAAACTCAACAATGGATTATATATAGTACATGTTCATTATTACGAGCATTTGATCATCGTTCAAATGAATGAAAATGAGAAGATGCTATGCCATTGATTAGTGGTAACAATTAAAATTTATAATTTATTTATTTTTTCAATGTATAAATATTTGTTCTGTTTTGTTTTTTTTTTGTTGTTTATATAGTTATATGGAAATGCTTTCTGCTCGATATTCTAATCGTGAATTATATTGGATAAATCAATATCGTTTAATTCGTCAATATATTTGGACAAATAATCGTACATGGAATGTAACAAATTATTTACAAAATAAGTGTTGGATCTGAATAAAATTTTATTCTTGGTCTTATACTTAATTCGATAACTGGAAATTTATATTTTTCTTATGTATCAAATTCATATGGACATTTCGAAGTTAATCGTCTTGGTACAGATCATCGTTTAATATTACGTAAAGGTAAAAATGAAACAATTTATACTATTGATGTTAATTCAAAACTAAGATAAAATTCTTAACAAAAAAAACTGATTTTATTTAATTATTTTATTTTAGATATGTTTATTGGTGTGATTGTGGATCTCATGTACGTATAAGTCGTTCATTTCTTAATGGTGAAAATGTAACTTATCGTTGTTACAATAAAAATTATTCGACCAGAATCAATAATCATTGATTTTCTTACTTAGAATATTTATTGGTCAGATTCAAGACGTGATACAACTGAAGTTATATCATGGGATGGAAAAAATCGTTGTACTGTTATGTTAACGATATATAAATAGAAATACATTTTTGTCCTAATATGCGTCATGAATATTATTTTCAAATAATATTTTAATAGAAAATGAAAATATGTGCGTCAATCAATATTTCTTTCTTTTTTTATGCACTTATCATTTGCTGATATTTCTATATTAAACTATTGGCTAAATAATCATTTATCGACATCATCACGATTCCTTCAAGTTAATAGAATTTCTGCACGATTGTTTACTTTATTAAAATAATACACGAATCATCATCCTGACCATTATAATATGAAATATATCAATAAAAATTTGTCATATTTCTGTCAGTAAAAGAACATATTTGTTTTTGCTTATCTAGTTTATTTTATGATGATTCAGCAATTTGTATTTATCAAATACGTCACAAAGTTTACATAAGTTATTATAATTACAATGTTCTCATTGGACTATTGAGAAAAATAGAAGAAAAAAACATTGGTTCGTGTCATGGACGGACGAGCATTGTTTGTTTGCTTTCTCTCTCTAATATATATATATATATATATATAGTGTCTTTCATTGATGTGTCACACAAACATTAACAGTGAACATTGCTATGACTGTGACCAGAGTAGAGCATCTTCCAAATGAACTGTGGTTCGAACTTTTCATCTATTTCACATGGTCGGAACTGGAATCAAGTTGGATTCATTGGAAACTCAATAGTCGCATTCAAATATTAGCTGAAATAGCACAAAATCGAGTTGCTTTGTCACTCTCGTCGATGTCGTTTACAACATACGATCAATGTTTACATTATTTCGAACATGAACATCCAATTAAAGCTTGTCGTATAACTTCTCTTTTGCTCAATGAATCTATTGTATCGAATGAAATTATTAATCGATGGCTTGAAAATGAAAAATCTTTTCTTCCACGTATTCGAAAATGTACAATCTATATAGATCTGATTAATAGATATGTTCGAACAAATATTATTCTACTTATTCGTCGACATACATTGACCATACGTCATATTGTATTTTATTTTAACGGACTCCACAGATATAGTGTGATATTGAAATACTTCATCGAACAATGCATATCTGTACATACAATGGAATTTATCGTTATTAAAGGTAATTTTTGTGATGAATGGATATAAAATCTAAGTGTTTACTAGATTTGCATTTCATCCGTTTTCAAATAGATAATATTATATCACATCGTCTTAAGTAGAATCGATATCCTAAGTTATAAAGACTTGATTTAAGATAAAGCTTTGAAAATCGCGAATATTTACATTATTATCAAATATTTGTAAGTAAATTGAATTTAACTTGAGATTCTTAGATCAACAAAGTATTTAATAGAAACATTATAAGAATGACCGTTTGAGAACAGAAAGAAAATTAAATAGAAAGTTTTTCGAACGAAATTTAATCAAGAAGTAAATCCATCTATCAAGTATATGATATGCATGAATAGTTGTGCGACTTTTTTTTACGAATTTCGACTAAGTCTATGTTTTGGTTTGTCTGAGTATTAAGAGTATAAAATATGAAGTGCAAAATGAAATGTTCACATGAATATACGTGCCATTTACAGTTGATCTTGATTTGATTCTAGATGATATGAATTACTCATGGTCGAGTTCTTTAAAGGAGGATGCCACTTGTCGTGATCAATTTCTTTCATTTCCAAACACAGTTAATTTACGACTCTCATTACAGCATATATCTGATTTGGCATTGTTACTACAATACGATACTTTACCATGTATAAAACATCTTCATGTTACATTGGAAAAGACAGTAAAAAGTATGCATCAATTGTACAATCGATATGAAAATCCGTCTTGTCCCATATTATGTTTGAAAGATCTCAATCTCAGTCAAACTAGTTTACCACATTTACGTTCATTACAGTTACGACAAGTGCCCATTAGAAATGTCATCATACTAATGAAACATTTGAGGGCTATGAATCAAATTGAATCATTGATTTTGGTGAATTGTAATGTTGAAGGTATGTTTTACTGTTGATGGAATAGCTGGATTGTCAAGAAGAACTATGATTGATAAAATTGTTATTTGTTTTTATATATAGATAAGAACGAACTTATTACATTTAAAGACTGCATTAAAACTATTATGATTCATTTGCATCGTCTTCATTTTATACTCTATTTACCTGTTCAGACAAGACTTGATGATATTGATCTTTATTGGTTTAACTTAGATCATCATACTGTTGAATACGAAATAAATGAAGTGATATTTCTTTATACAATTCCATATTTATTAAATAGTCAACGACGAGTGTATAATAATAGTGTTGCACAACAATCGACAATTAATAATAATATCACACATATTGAATGGATCATTGATCATGATCTTTTATCCATTGCCAAAACTCTTCTTCATTTCGAACATGTTAAATCACTTCATTTGTTTTTTAATATGACAGTAAATATTCAATATGAATTTATCTAGATTTTATATCGAAATATTTCGTTTAGGAAATGAAATTAAATCCAGATTCTTGGCATATGATACTTCCGTTTTTACGTTCTCTTCGAGTTAATTTTCAACGGAATCCTATGCAATCAAGGAAATTGTATAATCAATTTGTCACACCGAATCTCTATCGTTATATTCTTGAACAATTTCGTCAATGTGCTACTGCACTTGAGTCTTTGACGCTATACTGGTCTGACATTCGACTTCTTCTTAAACATTCTTCTTCACCTTGGTCATTCGTTCGACAGCTAAATATTCTTTTGGACATAGACGAAAAGATTCCATCTCCATATTTGACTAAACGATTACCAACAAACGAAGCTTTTCCTCAATTACAATATCTTTCATTTGGTGGTCGTCGTTTTTCACTCACACCACCGAAAAAACTCGCGAATCGAATCCTCTTATGGTTCGATAGTCTCGTATCTTCTTCATCAAAATTCATCATCTTACATGTGAATCGATGCTGTGGTATTTATCGAAGTGTACCTTCAACATCTCGTGACATACTTATGACACTTCTTACAGAATGTGTTCGTTCGAGAAATCTTCGCTATTCATCGTCTAAAATCATTATTGATTCCAATGAAGAGATTATCATTTGGCTTTGAAAGAGACTTTTAATCAAACAGTAGATATGCAAAAACAAATATTTAAGAATTTTCTGGTAAAAGAAAAGATATGAACATGAAATGCTTTTGTAATATTTTTTTCATAGAATTTCGTATATATAACAAATTGAATAATGTTTTAGTTATCATTTCTCTTCTTAGTTATCAATATCAGTTAAAAAACTTTTTAGTGATCATATGAAATTCTTCTTTCGGATATCCTATACGTTATGCCTATATGCATAGACTGAAACAACAACAACGTGAGAAGGATGAGTGTATTGCATGAGTTGCCTAATTAGAATTCGATTCAAATGTAAATACACAACGAATTGTCATACATTACTTAGAAAATAAAAAAATATAATCAGACCAACTGCTAAATTGCTGTGGGAAGAAAAAGATTAAATTTTAGCACTAAAATGCTTTCAAATATCTTTTTTACAATCTTGCTCGTTGAATACAACTACAGTTATTTAATTGAGAAGAAATGTTTAGATTCATTTTATTTATTATATTTTTCACTAATTTTGCTCGTTGAATATCAGTAATAATTATTTAATAAAGAGATGCTCACAATTTATTTTTTTTTATACATTTTATACAATTTATTTAAATTATAAAACTTAATCTTGATCTTTTTCTATAATTTACAGAGCTGACCCTATCCACTTATATAATTTATATAATTTCTAAAAACTTAATGTTTAGTGGTTTCTGTGGCTAGTATGGAGTTGTAGGTATTTAAAATCGCGTTTATTTTATAGGTCGAATTAGTCAGCTACTCGTGTATTGTGAAGAAGTATTATACTTCACCATAAAGGTGAGCAGTTAGTTGTTTATATACAGTCGTGAAAATGAGATGGTCGACTTGAATTTCAAGCTACGTGCAGAAAAACAACATCCCAATTAATTTACAATACCTTCCGTTAGACGAAATTCAAAACTATTTAAAGAAAAGATTCATTGTTAGTATTGATCTCGATTCTTAATTAGTTTAAGTTAACCGATATTAATATGATTGACACAAAACCTCAAGTCAATCTTTGTTCTTTTTTTCAAATTACAAAATAATTGTAGAAAAGTTTGTTTATAATTTAAACGTAACGAGTTTGAAATACGATTCTCAGTTTTAACTTATCGATATCTATTCTAGTTGATCATCATTATTCATTAATAATCTGATCATACAAATCGATGATCCATCAAGTTTCGATGAGTGAAACAAACTATCTAAAGTCCTAGACATATTAGAAGAAACCCATATTAAAAGGCCTTTCTCGAGTAAATCATACAAAAGACACATTAGAAGATCTTCTCCCTCCTCTCCTCATTGCTTTTGCACGTATAGCAGCCGATTTTTTAACTCTTCTCTTAGATAAATACTTTTCTCTTACACACGTATTTTCTCATGCTTTAATTAAAAAGTGTTTTTCTGTTTGCTTTGACAGTAAAACAGTCCGTACTTGTAATATATTTGTCTATTCTTTATCACGTTAATAATAATATACATTTGAACAATATTTTTCTCGTCTTCTTGACATTCAAATCCTCTCCTTCCTGAATAAAATCATGTGTAATTAATAGGTATATGCATACGACGTATCGAACCTTTTTTTTCTAACTGCTTGAGTGAAATCATATTTTTTTAAAGATTTTTTTGTCCTGTGAAAAATGATGATCGAATGAACTCACTAACTAAGTGTTGTTTGTACCATTTAGCATGTTTCAAGAACAAAAATATCTTTATTTTCTTCTTTGAAATGTTCTTTTAGAATTAAAATAGGAACTTCTTTTTGTTTATGATGCTAACGTATAATAAATGGAATAAACATTGGATAATAAAGTAATATGTTCAAAAAAAAAGCTCATGAAAATATTGTTATCAATATGCAAGAATATGATTTTTTTTAAGAACATAATAGAAGACCTCTTATAACTTATGAGTGAAAGACACAACAGAAGACTCGGGTCTTGTAATGTGTTGATAGTTTTATTTTATTTTTAGTCTTAAGCTATGTAAATTTTCATGTACCCTTGTCATATCATAAATGACTGTAGATCGACTAAAGGATTATTCATTTAGCATTGATTGATATGTGATTGATAGAAATAACATAGTTGCTTTATTTAATCTTTTCAATCGATTTGATCAATAAGGGTACATGTCGTAAAGTTAACAGTGCATTTTGGTAATAGATTTCATATAAATTCATCATATAGTCGATCGTCATTATTAGCAATAAAATGGAAGTCGAAAATAGAAATTAGTTATTTCTAAAATATTTTTCTCGTGTAATCATTGGTCATGATTTACATGTACAAACAAAGAAACGAAAACTTCCTCAATTATGTTCATAGTTTATATAACGTTTTATGAAGTTTTCATATTGATCATATAGTTTTTAGGGGTTTGTCTATGTGGAATACTGATGGAATATATTTACTACTTAAAAAGAGACGGTCAAATCTAGAACTTTTTATCAATTATATTGATGTTCAATAAGATATTTTTCTCATAATATTGAACTTTACTTATTTGAGTAGAATTGAATGTTTAAGGTTTTAATCACGATAATTAAGAATTATCTATGTAATCAAATCTGTATAAAAAGTCATAAATAACACTGAAAAAATGACGACTGATCTAAATATTCATTAAAAGTACATAGTTAGTTGTATTATGATTCGAAGAATAAAGGATCAAGTGAGAAAAAAGATGAATCCTTATTATTTACAACTGATTTTATCAATTTCAAGATAATAGAAAAAAAAGACCGAATTTGGACATTATTATAGTTATATTGTTAATCTCTTTTTCTTCTCTTGCAGAGTTCAATCTTTTACTTTCATAGGTATTCATCAAAGAAGTGAGATGAAGGACGATATATTAGAATATACCATCAGACAACTATAAGATTTAATTAAATCTGCTAACTCATTCTACTGATTTTGCAATCAATAAATATACAACTTAAATACATTTCATATCACTTCTTATGGCGACATCTAGAAAAGAAAACACTTATTAGAAGTTTTCGTTCTTAAAGAAATTCAACCACAGTTAATCTATCGCGGTGATTTTTGATCAAATTTTGTTGAATAAAATAAAGATAACTGTAATAATAATACAAAGTCAACTGTTGTTAAATAAAGTTAATTCTTTAATTTTTTATCTTTTTTTTCAAGATAATTAAAGATAATGCCTCTTCGTATAAAAAATGTTCCGATGGGTAAAGCATCAATAGATGGTATCTTATGCAGCACAGGTGCTTATTCATGTATTATCGTTGTTATTTTATTAGAAAATAAACAAGTTTTTATCAATCACGTAGATTCAAATAGTTTTAATCTCGAAGGATCTGATATTTCAATTGAAATTCAAAGATTCGTGAGAGATACTATGTTTAAATTATCTCAACTCAATACAAATGGTTTATTAATGGAAAAAATTTACATGATTGGTGGTGCAGATCAACCTGATTATGGAAGATTTCATGATACATTAAATCAAATGAAACAAAATCATTCTTTATTAACACCAATGTTTAATGATTTAACTATCGATGATTTAAGAAATTTTATTAATTTGATTGAATATTCAAACTTAAAGATAAATTTATCAGGAGGAGATTTAGACGCAAAACGTGGTACAGCATTTATATCAGATATTACTGTTATTATAGATCGAAAAACTACATCAAATTGTTTTTTTTCTATGGTTCAATATTATGGACGAGAGAAAGAGCTCAATGGTGATAAACGAAAATTTGAACCACAATTAATGTTTTTATACAACTTTGATGAGAAATATTGGAGTTTAATCGATAATCGTACACCAGGATTTCAGTCTAGTCATATAGACAAGCTGTTCACTCAGTTTAATCAATTGACGACTGAAGATGTACAAGAATTAAGAAATACGATCAATCATTATTTACAATCGATTAAACAATAATGATTTATTTCGTGATCTTTTCTATAGACTTTTCTTATGTGATTTCCAAGTTTTAACTTGATTTATTTTTTCTATTTATCAATGGTATTTTCTTTTCTTCTCTTATACTTTTCTTTTTTTAAATACATTTTACATATGCATAGATCTTTTGAATTCTACATCTCCAATGTTTGTGTATTTTATTATATCTTTCTCAACGTTCTATCGTCATCATCTATTGGACACGTTTCAATGGATGATCATAAGAGTGATGAGAAAAACTTCATATAATTGATTAGTTTGATGAAATTGCAATTATAGGACAAACAATCTATGTTTAGTTCTGTAACATTCACGAGATACGAGAAGAGTACATTTGAAAAAAAGATCTTTTACTTGACGAGGTTTTCGATATTATACAGCTTGAGTCCCTTGAAAATGATTCGTAAGTTTATATTGCTTACGAGAAAAGGCAATGTTTTTGTTCTATTGGATCAAACTTCATTTTCTCAGGCATTAAACTTTCACTAGCTCAAAAATCTGAAGTAGGATCCTCTAGAAATGGAAAATCTTGTTTAACATTCACAGATAATATCTATTTCGGAAGATAAAGACAAAATATGCCTATATGATAGACTAAATTTATTCCATTATATTAACGCATTCGACTTTTCTAGCTCATAGCATTACATCATCTTGATCAATTTTAAGAACTTTGTAGTTCAATACATTTACCTACTTTAAAAAATCTTCATTTCACATTTTGTTTTCCTCAACAAATTGAATATACATAGCGAATGAGTCTATTCATTCGTAATAGGAAGTGGTCTTTTGATAATATTGATGGTTACATAAATGAAAGTTATATTTATGACAGTAATATAAAAGATTTTGTTACAAAAACTCTGTTTATTACCTGTACTCGACCAATTAATTTACTATTTCAATCCAAACGAACTTTTCGCAATCATCGCTTTACAGCAGATACATCTGTTCAATTTCATCTCAACTCGATGATGATTAACTCAATGGACATGTGATCAAAACTATGTTCTTGATCAATTTAACAAAACTATACGAGTAATTACAAGCAGTCATGTTAATGAACTTCATTTAACATATTTAAATAAACAATAAGTCGTCAGAAAAAATAAATTCAATGAAACTTTTTAGTCTCGATTTTGAGGTGTAGTAGTTTATAGAATATTTTTTATCAATGAGTTTTTTCTTAAAACTTAACAACGTAATCAGACAAATTTTGTTCTTATATGAAAGATTTACTGAGATTGATTTAGTATAGAAATACCTATACAGAGCTCGAGACAAATCAGAATAGATTATATCTAATAGGAAATTCATGAAAGAATACATCTTGTATGTGAATATAATCATTTAATTTAGCTCTAACTTCTTGTAGTGATGAATGTACAACATCAACTGTATCATCACATAAAGCAAAATCCATTTTTCAAAGCATCTAAAAGGGAATACTGGAATGTAGAATAACAGTGTTGTTGCTGTTAATGTAAATACACTAGTTTTGTTTCATTTCATCATCATTTAAGTTGTACATTTGATAAAAATATTTATCGATTTCGTTTCGAATTGTTTCATCATTATTCATATAATGTATCTGATTAAAATAATTATTAACTTGATTTTTGATTAATTTAACATCATGCATTAGTAGTAAATCTTTTTTTTTCATCAGTATTAATATTAGAATCATTCTGAATAATATTCAAAAAATGATTTTGTTCAGAAATCAGATTAAGATTATCAGCTGCGTTACAAATACGTTGATGATGAGCTCTACAATATTCAGCGTTCGTGCTCATGATAAAAAAGTCTAGAATGAAATTAAAAGAACGAAACCCGCGAAAATGTCATTTGCAAAAATCACATTACCTTTTCACAGCTGCAGCAAAAAATATGAACAACCAATTGAACAGCGAGATGTCAATTTCATCTAAATCTAAAAAATTATTTATAAATAATCAAAACTAGACTAACAGGTTAGTGCATAAAACAACTTTCGAATTACATTCGCTTTATGTTTAATATTCCAGCTTAAAATAAAAAAGAGTTTAGTATTTTCTGATTCTTTTGTTTTCTTTATATCAGACGGACGTTGCTAGAGCTAATGACAAAGCTACATCCGAACAAAGGTTTTTCAGTATATATCTAAAAGATTTATACACTTTGTCAAATTAAATCATGAAAAAATTAATTCCCTGGGCAGTCCCGGCAAGGAGATTCCCTGTGGAGTTTGTGATATTCTCCTTACTCTCTCAGAACAGGGACTCCCAAGAGCTTTTGCAGGAAGTCCCCGGGGGAGACCCTGGGGACTTCGCATTTTTCGGGGGACTCACCAAGGATTCATTAGAGGAGAGTCGACTAGGGTAGAAATAAACAAAATGATAGTACAAAGAAGGTCGCAAGAATAAGAAAATCAGCAACCTTTTCTTTTTCGATTTTTCTCTTTCTCAATAAATAATGTCAAATTTAGTTTTAACCAAAAATGATGAATCAATTCGAATTTAGGAATTTATTTGAGATTTTAATGAAAAATCTAACTAACTGACAGTGCTAGTTAGTTTCCTTTGTTTATGAGAAGTTATACGGTACATAGACTAAATGAAATTTTTCACAAAAACTTATTCTTTGGATTAAAGAAGATTTAATTCTTTTTAATATTTAAAATATAAATTAATTTATTTTGAAATGTTTCAACGATATTTCATAAGCATCTGTAGTCGTCGAAGGAAATCGATGAGATAAGTCTTCTTTTGATCATCTTTTATGATCAGAAATCATTATAAAACGTTGTTCGAGAATCGAAAATCAATCTTGAATTAAACCTTTGCTAAACTCGACTTTCTATCATATTTTTGTAACAATCTGAATGTATTAAATTTGACTTTTTCAAAAATTCAATATTTTTATTGAATAAAAAAAACAATGGTTAAATGTTGTCAAGCTAAATACACATGTGTATTTCTTTAGATGAATATATCAATGACATTGAATTGTGATTTACAGCGTAGTTTATTGCTCTATCATATACGATTCATTACATTTAATATCAAATCACATTCAATGGGAAAATGCCAACGTATTGTCATGATCGAACGGATTCTTAATGCATCACCAAATCTTTCGTCTCTTATAATAGCATGAAGAGATTTTCGTCACTGTTGACGAAAATACTTAAATCTGAAATATGTACATCTCTCTTATTGAATGAACAATATGACAATCCAAAACGTTATTTTCGTATTAATCGATTAACTGAATTAGCACCTCATCCATATACATTTGAAACAAGTAATGCAGTTATAATGTTAAATGATGATCTTCTTGAATTTATTTTAAGCATTAGTCATCGATGCGATCAATTAGTACATTTAGCACTCAATAAAGATTGTCATTATCGATCTAACGATGAAAAAAAAGTCATATCTGGAGACGAGTTAATTGCAGCTACTCATGGTCAAATACTTCATTGTAATGAAACACAAATTAGATTTTGTAAAGATGACGGAATTATGTATTTGGTCCTAATATTATTATGTGAAACATATTTTCTTTAATAATCATTTCTTGAATGTTAGAATACATTATATTATTGATCATAAATGTGTTTTTAAAGATCTCCAAATTTCACTGTGCGATATGTATGTTTTGCTCATCGCATGAGAAAATGCAATGTTATTTTTTTTGTAAAATATAAATAAAATATCTAACAATAGAGGTGTGTGTATTGTTGAGCGAAAAGACTAGATATTTTTACATCAAAAGAAAGCTCTCACCGCCAATATAACAAGGTTAAAATATTAGCTGCCCTTGGCGACTCTAGAGGGAGATATTCAATTTTTACCATATTCACGATTTAGGTATATATGAATATTAGGAATATTTATATCAATTTTTTATGCATTCAATTAAGTATTTCACCATTAGAATTTAAAGATCTCATTGAATTTTATTAATATAACAGTGAGATCACATTAGTTTTGATGTCTTTTCGAGCTTAAGTAGTATCGAAATGGAGAAAAAGACATATGATTGTTTGAAAAGTGACTTACGCGTATAATATGCGAACTTGAAGTGCATTGATGCATCACTTGGTGGTGGTCTATTGACCATTTATTTGCAATTGGTGTTAAGAAATCACAAAGAAATGTACTATTGAAAAATTATTCTATTTTGTTTTCTGTTGGATCTATTGAATTAAATAGTTTATTTCTTCAAATTAAAAAATGAATTTGTTAAACATCGCTAAACAACTTCTTTATTTGACTGAAACTGAATACACATCTGAAAATTCTGCAACAACTGCGGATGAAATCTTTGCTGCCGAACGACTGTTTGAAATTCTGAAGTCGTTCCAAGACAGCTACTTCAATGAGTTGTATTCTTATGAGACTCTCGAATTTGAAGATGAATTTGATGGAATGACTGATGAAGAAGAAGACGGCGATGAAATTGACGATGACAATGAGAATGAACATTCTGATTTAAAAAGTTGTTTTACGTTAGAAGAAATGGAAAAGATAGTCGAATGGGTTGACCAACATCCAAATGCTGGATTCGCAACTATTTCCCATCGATTTAGAAAAGTCAAATACATGCATTATATTCCAAGGTTCAGACAATACCCCTTTGGGGACCAAGGACGTATATATACGTCCTCGCAACTGAAACAGAAGACCCAAGTGTTTCGGATATGTCGAAGTGGAATCATTGTATTTTTTATTTCCTTTTTCACCAGAGAGTTCATTGTCATACTCTATAGAAAGAAGAGCTAGCGCCACAAGTATATTGTTCATAATTTCTAAGATATACCTAATTTCCACGATATCGTTTACCTCTTCTCGAAAAAAAAAGTCGGTCCCCAAAGGGTTAGTGACATTTCTTAGATGTCACTAGAATTTTATAATTACATAATATTTTAACAGACACAATACATTACTTTTTTTCTAGTCAACAATGCATTTTAAAATGAAAAAAATTTCTACAGTTATACGGAACAAAAAAATAAACATAGTTTATGATGAACTCTAACAATCGTGATTTTTTGAAAGTTTGCTTTTGAAAAACCGACTGATGAAAATTGAAGAGACACTTTTTCTATGTAACTCCATGTGCTTTATCCAATCATGCATAAAAAAGTGAAAAAAGAAACAATCATACCGAAACTTTGAATTGCACGCGCCTTATTCAAGACGAATAAGCTTTTTTCTTTTATCTCCTATTTCTTTTTCCTTCGTAATAAAACAAACGTTAGTATCATTTGATTTTATTCTGTTTCTTTTTGTACAATTCGTCACTTCTCATACATATCTTTCGTACGAAGCATCAAAACAAATAATTTATCGAATGACGAGTAAGAAATTTTTGTGTAGAAATGACTGAATTTAATGAAGTCAATCATCATCTGTGGTAGGAATGAACCATTTACTTTAACTTTATATTAATAACGAATCTTTGCGATCCCTCGAAGAAGCATGTCAACCATTAGAAAAAAAAATTCTTGACAAAGAATTCAAACAACATATAATAATTGATAAAATCAATTTGAGAAAACTCGTGGATAAGTTCTCTATAGATGAATGAACATCGACTTATTTATACACAATAGAATCGAATATGCATGAGAACAGTTTCTATGCAATTTAGAATCAGCTATTCCGTTTGACTAACTCAAAAAACACTTCGAGTATGATTCAAATATATATATAGTTGTTTCTCATAGTTTTCTTTAAACTTGAGATGATATTTCTCCGTATCATGCTAACTAAACATCGAATAATTTGGCGAAGAGTTTCCGAAGATCTGAGCTTCCATTATTCTGAAAGAAAAGAACAAACATAGTGAATACTGAGTTCTTATACGTCTTCAATCAGTACTGTCAAATATTCATCCTAATTGAGTACAACAGATACATGAATAATATTCTCTATTGAGACGAAAAATAGAAAGTTCATTCGTGCATATTCATATTTCAAAGAATAACACGAAATTCTCCTTCCTCTTGTTATTTAGCTTAAAGTAGTTGATCAATCGAATTCAGCTGATAAATAGACAAGTGGGTGTAGGTCTCGAGCTACTCTTTGTTTTAAGGATAGGTATGAGTCTTGATATTCAAATTACCCACAACTTGTGCTCCTCTTCCGATAAATAGACACATCTCAAACCCATACTCTTAGATTTCTGTATTGTTTCTTGATTTATCTTTCCTATTCTTCGAATTTCTCGATCTCAAGACTTTTTTTATATTCACTTGGTCTGATATTGTCTCCCATATTTCTTGAGCTGTCTCTATATCTACTTCGTGATTACCAGTGAATTTCAACTGATATGTGAATGCGATGAAAATTAGTCTTATCTTAGACTTTTCATAAGAATGCATTATCGGTAATATCACGCAGGTCTTACTATTATCAACAAATATTTTTAGAGATGATTGTCTTTTTGTTTATTCATACTGAATCTTGTTGCAACGCTTGTTTTCTTCTCTATAGAGATCAAATGCCAGCAGGAAAAGATTATTAAAACAATCTTGTAAGACGTGTCTTTAAACTGTCGCGAGAGAAGAATCGGTTGATATATTTAACGATCAATAGACTTTTTAAAACCATCTAAAAAATCTTGCAGACAGATATCGCATCTGCCTATGCTGAATTTTGAAATCAACCACTTGTAAACTTGATGACTCACGATTGTCACATTGAAAGGCAGAAGAAGTCGAAGATCAGTATAGATAAAACCTATGTTTTTCTTGCATATCCGAGCTAAGTCAAGCGAAAAAGTGTGGTTTTTTGGGATCCCAGCGCCTGTAGTTCACTATTCAAACAGCAAAAGGAAAGAATCTACGACTTTCGTGGTTTTATGAAATAGACCTTGGACTACAAGATAGATAAAGGTAGGTTGAAAAATGTAATGAAGTTTTTCTGAGCGGAAAGGCAGTTTTCGAAAGATCCTAATAGGTTTGTGTTACGGAGATACTCAACTTATTCCAACATATTCTGTTTTGGAAACAACATGATCAATTCGCATGTGTCGTAGCTTTCTGGCTCTGTAGATTTATTTTCTTGACCATAAGGAAGCCACGATAGTTAGACTGATTGCATAGTTTATACGCCATGTATCATCATATAAAATTTTATTCAAATTCTTGAAAAATTCGTCAATTAGTTTAGAATTGAATGAAATTAACAGGAAACAATTGATACAAAAAAGAAAAGAAAATTTTTCTTTCTAATCGATCTCTTTTTATTGACAGACATCCAAATTAAGTGTGATGCGATAAAGCAGCATGCAAACATGAAAAAAATTAGTTAAAAGCTGAAATGAACAGATATGGAACACCAATATTAGAAAGGTAGCTTGAAGTGAGGAGAAAAACATGATGAAAAAAAAGATCTATTAGAGCTACGGATATTAAAATGATTGTTTTAGTCTCCCTGTTGTCGATAATACACAGATACTGTTCATTTTTAGAAACATGAAAGATTTCAACTTTCCTTTCCTTTCTGGAAGCAAGAAGAAAATGAAAGTGCTACCTCTAATTGTCATCAAAATAGACTTCTTAAAATTTTTATCATTGTAGAAATATCTTTGTAGAAAAAAAAAAGTAATTGCATGTTCTGAGAGCTCTTGAAATTTAGTATCATCGAATATGTTTATCTATTGTCTTGCGTTCATTTCTTGATAGAAAAAAGAATTTAAATAGAAGGAACATACTCTTTATTGATAAGAGCTGAAATCTCCTATTGTTCTATACATTGTTTTTATCTTATCTTGTATTTAAATGTTGAAGACATGTTAATAATGCTTTACATTCTCTATCATCGTGCATATTTGAAATAAAAAATTCGATTTTTTTAAGGATTGATCAAATAGAAAGATCTATGTGATACTCAAATTATTGTTTAACAAATCAATATAAGACAATAGATTAACTTATTGTATGATAGAAAATTTCAAGCATACTGTCACAATATGTAATAGCTTTCTGTTTTTAAAAAGAGATATTTCTGTAATAACGAAAAACTTTGAATGTTTATTATGATAAGAATGGCAAAACAATTCATTGTCATATTTAGTGATCCTTAATAAAAATATAGAAAAAAAGTTTTTCGAAAGTATTTTAATATCAAAATGAATGAAACATAAGTGTTATTCAGAAGATCATCACATATTTTCAATCTCGATTTCACATATACAAATGTTGAACGAAATGTAATTCGAATCATAAAGGAAGAATATTGAATAAATCACTTTAAATTAGTTTTTTTTATAAATGGTTATATGAATTCATTTTAGGTCGAGATATTTTCATAATAAATTATATATTATTCTGAGTGATTTTCTTCTATAAGACAAATGGCAGCAGTAAATGAATCAAGATTATGTTCAATCTGCAATAAACCTTCAGCCAGATGCTTTTGTATTGGATGTCAAAAATATTTTTGTTCAAAGGATTTCAAAGAACATGAACAACAACTATCGATGAAATTTGACAATGAAATAGTAAGTTCTCATGATGAACTTCTTGGTCAAATTCAAAAATTAGAAAAATCAAATT